GAAACAAAGCACAAGTGGGGGGAGAGGGGGCAGAGAGAGAGGGAGACAGAATCAGAAAACAGACTCCAGGCTCTGAGCTTTCAGCACAAAGCCCTAAGTGGGGCTTGAACTCGTGAACTGCGAGATCATGACCTGAGCCGAAGTCCAATGCTCAACCGAGTCATCCAGGTGCCCCAGGAGATTTTATTTTTAAATGATCTCTACACCCTTGGGGCACCTGGGTGGCTCAGTCGTTTAAGCGTCCAACTTCAGCTCAGGTCATGAACTCACGGTTCACGAGTTCGAGTCCCACATTGGGCTTTGTGCTGACAGCTCAGGGCCTGACTCTGCTTCAGATTCTGTCTCCATCACTGCCCCTCCCCTGCTCGTGCTCTCTCTCAAAAACAACTAGATTAAAAAACTTTTTAAATGATCTCTACACCCAACGTGAGGCTCAACTTTAACAACCCTGAGGCCAAGCCTCGTATACTCTACCGACTGAGCCAGCCAGGCACTGCTATAGCCAACTTTTAGAAATGGAACAAAAGTCATTTATTTATTTTTTTCCCAATATGTTTTTATTTTTTTTTTCAACGTTTATTTATTTTTGGGACAGAGAGAGACAGAGCATGAACGGGGGAGGGGCAGAGAGAGAGGGAGACACAGAATCGGAAACAGGCTCCAGGCTCTGAGCCATCAGCCCAGAGCCCGACGCGGGGCTCAAACTCACGGACCGTGAAATCGTGACCTGGCTGAAGTCGGACGCTTAACCGACTGCGCCACCCAGGCGCCCCACAAAAGTCATTTAAATCTGGAGTCAAATAGCCAATGAGAAACTACTGCTTTTTAAAAATATTTTTTTAATGTTTTTTATCTATTTAGTATTTACTTTTGAAAGAGAGTTTGAGGCAGGGGTGGAGCAGGGAGAGGGAGACAGAGGAAGCGGGCTCTGTGCTGACAGCAGAGACCGTTGTGGGACTGGAACTCACAAACTGTGAGATCACGAGCTGGGCTGAAGTTGGACGCTTAACCAAATAAGCCACCCAAGGCACCCCGAGAAACCCCTACTTCTGATTGAAAGCTAGCAAAGTTGAGCAAATAGGAATTGGTCCTGCTTTAACACTGTATATACAAGTGCAAAGACTGAAACCTGAGTACTGTCCTGTATCAAAGGTAGGACATCCCTGGTGCTCTCGGCACATCGCACTTTGCATCAGGTCTTTGGGGCCAATACTTCATTATCAATGCTACCACGTATGGAGCAAAAGGACATCATGGCTCAGAGGTCTTCAAAGCTGTACTTAATGCCATCCCACTCCAAGTTTACATATGCTACTGGGGTGGGCATTAATGTCCATTTTTTTGTCTACCACATCCAATATAGACTGCCTTTCCTTTTCATTAATTTTCACATTCTTCATTGTACATTTGGCTTTACGGAGTTCTTAAATTATGCTGAAATTATAAACTAAGGCTAGAATTTTATGTTCATAGAAAGGCCAGTGCTAAAAATCTTAAGATAAATCCTGTAGTACGTTAACATAATCTTAAAAATTAGTATTACATTCCAACAGTCCTCACCCATAATTTTTTCATTTTAATCTCTGTAATCTGATACCTGTTTTTACCTTCAGATTTTTACCTAATAATGAGCACTTTGAGCCTCACCCAGTATCAAAGACAGTTAATCAATCAGCAAGTTATACATACTTGAGGGACTGAGGTAGCTATTTTCATTTTGCTATTCACTTGAAACTTCAACAAACTAGTTGTTACTAAGCTTTTTCACTAGTTACTATGTTGTAATTCACAGTGGAAAAAGAGAAAAAAGGAAAAGAAACATCCAGTTAGGCAAAATAGTGAATTCCCAAGACTTTGTTTCTGCCGCACTAGCTCTCCTTGAAATGTGATTGTACCAAGTCCTCAGAAAATTACGACTCGAATGTTCTGAGCAAAAGATAAAAGACACACTTGGGAAAGCAGTAATCTAGGGTTCTGAAATGGAGTATCTCCCATTAGTTTTTATAAAAATGCTTTGCACAGGCTTCCAAATGGTAGTTGTTTGCAACAGTAGCAAAAGCAGCACTTCCAAAGGAGTTCCTAAAGCAGGCTCGATTTCAACTGCTTAACCAAAATACTTCTGTTCAGCTACAGGTAAGACAATCATTCTCAAAGTGTGGCCTCTTTATGTGACATCACCATCACCTGGTAACTTGTTAAAAATGCAAATTATCAAGACTACCCCTAAACTAGCAAATTAGAAATTTAACCCAGCTAGTGACTAGTGACCCAGCCACATTTTATTTTCAGAAAGAGCACACGACAACACTTGAGTGGGGAAAGGGTAGAGTGAGAATCCCAAGCAGGCTCCAAGCTGTGAGCACAGAACCTGATCTCATGAATCCTGAGATGACCTGAGCCAAAATCAAGATTCAGATGCTTAACCAACTGAGACATCCAGGTGCTCCACAGCCACGTCTTAACAAAATTTCCCGGTAATTCTGATGCATGCTAACATTTGAGAACCAAACTAAAGGAAAATAATTCACACTATCATTTTGTTACTAGTGTTGACTCTAAGCATCTTTTTTAAAAATTTGAGAATCCCAAGGAAGCTCTGCACTGTTAGCGTGGAGCCTGACATGGGGCTTGTTCTGATGAACTGAGACCATGACCTGAGCTGAAATGGATGCTCAACTGACTGAGCCACTGAAGTGCCCCAACTCTTAAAAAGTCTTGACCTCACGCCTAACAGTCACAGGACTAGCATCAAAGTGAAGGGCATTCTGCTTTTAAAAAGGTTTTAAGTAATGTCTATACCCAATGTGGAGCTCGAACTTAAAATCCCAAGATCAAGAGTCACATGTTCAGGGGCACCTGGGTGGCTCAGTCACTTGAGCTTCCACCTTTGGCTCAGGTCACATCTCCTAATCCGTGAGCTCAAGCCCCACATCAGGCTCTGTGTTGGCAGCTGAGTGTGGAGCCTGCTTCAGATTGTCTCCTTCTCTCTTGCAAATAAACATGGCGGGGGAGTCACAAGATCTACCCACTGAGCCAGCCAGGTGTCCCTGGAAGGGCATTTTAACCCCAGCTAACAAACAGCTCAGGGTTGCCAGAGAACACAATCCCAAACTCATTACCATTCAATACTTGAGCTTTCAGCTATACTAAGCTATATTCTATAATGGAGACCAATAAAAGAGACCACACAGAGCTGCTCCCAGCCCAAGTACAAGCGATCTTAAATAACCCACACTGACTGGACCTAACATTTCAGGATTCAAATTTTTTAATGTTTATTATTTTTGAGAGAGACAGAGCATGAGCAGAAGGGCAGAGAGAAAGGGAGACAGAATCGAAAGCAGGCTCCAGGATGTCAGCCCAGAGCCCAATGCAATCACTTGAACTCACCGAGAGATGGTGACCTGAGTTGAAGTTGGATGTGCCCCCACCCCTTTTTAAGATTTTAAAGGAATCTCTCCACCCAAAGTGGGATCTGAACTCACAACCCCAAGATCAAGAGTCGCATGCTCCACTGAGTCAACTGAGGCACCCCACTGTTTTAAAATAATGTTCTGCAGTGTTCCAGCAGGTTTCCACTACACATCATTCTCTTTACTCAGTAATGTTACATTTTACTGTTCAAACCCACTGAAAACCCATCATGAACAAAGCTAGGCAAAAAATAAAGTCTATTCCTCTTTGATAACTCTAATACCTACCATTAACACTTAACAGGCTGTATTTTGTGTTCCCCATCACCCTAAAAGAGGGGCACGAGGAAACCTCTAAGAAGGAATTCAGGGAATAGAGTACCTTAAAATTTTCCTTAGAACCTTATTTAGACTATAGGAGATGGTGTAGTTGGTGGCCAGAAATTCACTCTGCTCATTAATAAAATTTCAAATGAAACTTTTAGGGTACCCTAATCAGTTTTACAGCTAGTCAATGAAAGCCTTATCAGAGTCACTCTGAGATCCCACATTTATGAGCTATATAGGCTTAAAAAATACTACTACTACTACAAATTTAAGGGGTTTCTAAAATTTTCCCTCACAGAGGATTTACCTAAAGGCTAAAATGGTGTCAGGCAAAATGTTCTTAAACTTGACAGCAGGTTTACGTGGAAACATTCCCATGAAAAAAGGTTTGCCATAATCTGGGAAATAGCTGTTACAGATTTATCTATCACTGGTAATTTATGTATGAGAATTTCTACTTCCTAAATGTTATCAAATGAAGACATTAAATTTTTTTTGTACAGCCTGGTACAGCCAACAAAGTAGGACCTATGGAAAAAAGCTATCACTGACAGGAAACAATTAGGGATTCCAATGCACATAAAATACTTTGGGTTGCTTGCTGTTAGTTAAGTTGGAATTAAAAGCTGGTAATTAGTAAAGGCCAAAATTAAACTACAGAAGTAAACTGGCAAGGATTTTTTGTACATGTCACATTAGAAAAACATTAACTGCCTCTGAGAAGTATACCATAAAATTTTGATTCATCTTTTAATACACCTGGATCTAAGAGTTTCAAAGAATTCCTAGAAATTCTTGTATTTTTTAAAATTAAAAATTTATTTTTTAACAATAGGTAATAAATCCCTTATACCAAGAATCCCAACAGATTTTGAAAAGCTAGTAGAACTAATTCTTGATATTCCATGTTATTCCCAACTTTACTGTTTTATACTTAAGCCTAAACACAAGCTTTTACCATTTCTTCACCCTTAGCATTTTAATGTCCAAAGGTTTTTAAAAGCCCCATTCCACACACCACTTTTTGTCATGTAACAGGAACAAGAAATCCACCAGCACCAAAAACTTTAAAACTCAGTTCTTTAGTAGCAGTCTTTAGAACACTCTAGATTAAAAATGTAATAATTTGTTAAAGCATGCAAAAGAGTGTAACAGTGAATAAAAACCACAACTGACAAAAATATTGGTTAACATTCCAAATATGTATAACCAATGAACTTGGCCTAGGTTTTTTTTTTTTTTTATTGGTATTCACTTCAGAAACTTGAATCCACAGATATAAGCAGTATATTACCAGAAAGTTACAAGTAAACACAGATTATACATGCAAATTTCTGTTCACAAAGGTCACATGTGCAGGTATATGAATTAGAAGCGTGCGTCTAGTTTATGGCCAAACTTTTTAAAATGCAGAAATGTAAAATTACATCTTGAAATATGAAGAGATGGTCTACACACTTCAAAAATCAAATGTTGCTTATACCAGATGTATGACAGCTACAGGATTCAAGTGACAAGCAATAAGATCTCAAGAAATTAATACTGCTCAAAGGGAACGGGAATATTTTTACATTTCACTGAAAATACATTGACTACTAGAATACGAAATCTAGCAGGAACTTAGGGGAAAAAAATTACAAAAATCTAAAGCCAATTACTTAGTATTTCTTATTACCTAAACAACAGCATGACATTAAAAGAAAACTGCACCTGCATTGTAATTGCCAATCTCATATTAATGAAGATATCCAAATAAAACGCAACCAAAAACCTTCAAACTCCAAATGATGAGAAGTCTGCAAAAGGCTCAGATTAAAATGCGGAATGTTTCAGATGAAAGTAATAAAAATACCATTGGTTTTGTTCTTTATTGAATGGAATCAAAAGTTTTGACATTTCTTTGAAGCGTGGAACTAAATTTCATTTCTCTGAATGATTCTAGGTCTCTTTTTTCTTAGTGGTGCAAGTTGTCTTAAGTAACTTACAAGTCAGTCTCTACAAAGTACTTCTGTCTGTTACCATTTTGATAAAACAAAAACAATTCTTCATTAACTTAACCGTATATGTATTTTTGCTGTAACACTTAACACATGAACAGACATCTAATATTTTTCCACTAAAACAAAAGAGTACAATAGTTTTCTTCTAACTACCAGTATTGTATTTAAAAAAGGTTAACATTAAAAACAAAGAACCATTATTTTCTTTGAAATTGTTAAGCTTCTTGCACATCTTAAGCTTCCTTCTTCTGCCTGCGTTCTTCTGCCAATTTATTCAGAAATTTCTGAAAAGGAAAAAAAAATTACAGGGATTAAATCACGTAAGAAACACCTAAGTGAATTCCAAAATGAAATATTCTATCCAAGTTTATTCAGAATTTGAGTGTAATTTAACTACAACCTTACCAATATTTTACAAATTCAATTATTCTTGTTAAGTCAGTGTACAAAACTAAACTAGTTCACAGTACACAATATATGGGGGAGAATGATAAAATGTGAAAAAAAGATTATTTCAACTTGCAATTAATATTAACTCACACAGTTAAGAAAACAAAGACCATACTTGCATAGAACTGCCACTGCTCCAAAAACACAGATTAGTTAAAATAACATGCATTTATTCAGTGTGCCTTCCGTTAAACTAACATTTTCTTAAAGGGCCAGCCAGCAGTATTTATTTTAAGTCTGTGGGCTGTTCTTTATTTCATCTACTCAATTCTGCTGTTACAGCAATAAAACCAGCCATTAACAGTACTTAACTGAATGACTGTGACTGTGTTCCCCCAGAACACCTCATTTACAAAAGCAGTGGCCCCTGTATTACACACCTGTAACTTCTAGGGTTCTTGGACATACTAAAACATTAATAAGTAACCTTCCCTCAACAAATCTAAAAGATCCAAAGTTTTTTTGACTTTTGGGTAGAATTTCTCAACTCTATCACAGTTTCTCCAAATTGCTGAGAGGGTTAAAAGCCACTATATCCTTAAGGGAAAAAACACTCAGGAAAGTATCAAGTCATTATCATAATCAGCAAAAATGTAGTGCATGGTAAATTTTAATGAAGTTGACAAAGTTCCTTTAGAATAAAGAGAGCCACCTCTCTTTAGAACACCTCCAATAGAACAAATATCTAGAAAATTGTAATAGCTAGAAAATATTTACAAGTCTATCATTTATAAAGTATCAAATACCAGGATACAACTTGTGTCTTAATACTCTTCTTTGTAACAGTTTCTGCCTCCATACAGCTAAATACCAAAACAAGTATTATTTGTTTGCTGCTACTAATGGGATTAACCACCATTCTTTTTTCATAGGCATAATGGGAAGATACATACAGATAGCAAAGAACATTTACATTTAAAACTAGTGACATAGCCAAGAACTGGAATTATTTCCTAAATTCAAGCCTATCTTTATCCATCTAAATCAACATACAGAGCACATTTGATGACTGAGTATACAATGAGCTCTGTATTAGAAAGCAGTGTAAAAAACCAGGTTATCTGTAATTCAGTTCTTTAACTTCTTTCAAGTTTTATACCATTATCTGTTTCAATAGTCCTTAAAAAAGTCACTAACAACAACACTGAATTTCAAAATCTAGTAAGAGAAATTTGTTATGCTTATTATTTATTCATTTATCCTTTTACCTTTATCTCTCATTGGTCATATAACTCACAAAATATCATTATTAATAAACAACTTAAAGGTGATATAAACATCATTAAGTATAAAGAGACATGGCACTTTATAGAAGTTGAAAAAGCTTTTCATTATTCCACTTGGGATTTCAGGCCTCCAGGATCTTCCCAATTAGAGAAATTACACTCTCACAACGCTTAGTCAAGAATATTTAAGGGGCGCCTGGGTGGCTCAGTCGGTTAAGCTGCCCGGACCAGGCTCAGGTCACGACATCTCCTCGTGGTCATGGTGGAGTTCTGAGTTCACTGCTGCTCTGGGCTGAGGCCCAGAGCCTGGAGTCACCTTGTGCCCCCCTCTCTGCCCCCCTCCCCGCTTCATGTTTCATTTGTCTCAAAAATAAATAAACGTTAAAAAAAAAAATAAAAAAAAAAAAAAGAATATTTAAGTAACTTTAATTACATCAGAATTTTAGAACATGGCTAGAAAATTATTCAATTGAATGTACCATAGAAAAAGGCTCAAGAGATGTTTCTAGAATCCACTAAACTGTTTAAGGCCCATCAATAAAGAAGTAAATGTGTCATCTCTAGGATGGGTCTACAGAAAGTACCACACACATTTTACTTTATACAAATTTACATAATTTGTTAGTTTTCATAAAAGAACCCTTCTATTTTAGGTTCAGCCTTACCTTTAATTTCTGATAATGAGGAAGGCTGCTGCAATGAGTATTCTTTGCAACTTCTTCATTTGTATAAAAGAGTGAACACAGCTTACAGTAAAACCCTGTTTTAGGTATCACATAGTCTATACCTAGAACACAAACATACATTCTTACAAATTTAGTAAACTGAAGATTTAATTAGTGTTGTCAAATCTCTTTTTCCGGTCAATGTAATTTGAACAAGATAATATTGGTGAGAAGTCCAATATAACCTAAGCTAAAACAAAACAAAAGCCATGATATCAGTAGTTAATTGTACTCAATTGACAGTTAAGGTCCCACCTAACTGCATTCTTAAAAAGGCAGAAATACAAAAGATAAAGAAAAAGCAATGTGAAGTTCTCAGAAACCTTTATGCGGAGAAAGAATATATTATGAAATGGTAACAAAAGATAATACAAAATGAGAGTTGGTTAAGTGGAGAAGAATGTATTAAGATTTACAAAATGTTCTGCAGAGAAAAAGATTTAAAATGGTATCAGAGTTTATGTAAGACCAATTTAAAAATCTTATTTAATAAGAACTTGGGGAGGGTGAGAGGGGAAGAACAAAGCCTTAAATCTCACCAACAGGAACATTGGGCTGGTATGGTCCAATTCTATACTCATCTGGGATTGTATAGTCCTCCTTGTTTTCATCACTTTGGCCATCCGCATTTTCACTTGTATCTTTGTTGGGATCATCAGCATTCTCAGCAGATTCCGCACCTGGTTCTGTATTTTCCTCATTTTTAATTCCATTTTCCAACGCTGCTTCGTTTTCTTGATCAAGTTCCTCGATCTTGTCCACCTTAATTTCAACCAAACCATCATCATTTTTGTCACCAGATTTAAATGTCATGCCCGATTTACGAAGTTTCTGACGTTCCGAATCTTCCTCATCACCAACCTCATCTAGAGTGACAAAACCTTCCATACTCCCTGGGAAACGACGCTGTTAAGAAAGACAAATTTACTCTGCAACAATTATCCTGCAGCATCCCTTCCATTTGCTTTACTTGAAGGGAAAGGGATAGCGTCTTTGTCTTTATTTATTTTCTCAAAATACTGACTTGCTCCCCCAAAATCAGATTTTTTAAACAAAAAAACTTAGTTTTAAAACTAAATAAAGGCTTGCCTCACAAAAAGAGCAGAAAATAAATGAAATAAGGACATTATATTCTACACTTGCTGTAACTATTATGCTACAAGGGATTATGTATCAAAAATGTGATTTGATAAAAGTAGTTCAATGGTATCCTTTGGAAGACAGTATCTTAGGATACAACTGTTGTTTAGAGAATATGCAGTCTAAAATAGTGTAGTGGTTAAAAAAAAAAAAGCAAGCTCTAGAGCATGACCTATGTTTAAAGTTTAGATTCTGTCACTTACAAGCAGGAGGACTGTAGACAATTTATTAAACTTCTCTATGCCAAATTTATTCATTCATGAAATGGAGTCAACAAAGGTATCTACTACTTACAGTTACTTTGAGGACTAAATTAATTAGCATATAAAAAGAGCTTACAAAATTTATAGCATATAATAAATGCTCAATAATTATCAGCTCTTAAGACTGCAAATGGATTCTGCAACAATCCACTTCAAGGAAAATAACTTTATCTGACCTAGCCATCAACATCTGGAGATAAAAATTCGTTTTCTAATAGCTGGAACGTTGCTTACAAAAACCAATGGACCAAGATTACTGAGATCTCATTGTAACAGCCATTTAATGCAAAGGCATTTTAATACTCCAATCCTCATCATAGGTAATTCAGTACACCAGTCTCTTGTTTTACTCCTCTTTATGCTATGCATATGTTTGTCTATTTGAGTTCACTTTAAATGCTTTTATGTGTTCTCAAAAAAGGTCTTCAAATATTGAGTATCTTCAGATATTGAATTATCTGATCAAGCTTTTCGTTCTCAAATAGGAAAATTCTTCAAGTCTAACACTTTTTAAATGAGTGGCTGAATGTTTTAAGTATCTTGGGTCAGTTAACTTAAACTCACATCCCATCTTTTTAAAAGTTCGACTACCAGGCTGCCTACCAGTACTTACACACTACCACCACAGTACACAAATAAAAGTCAATTTCCTTCCTTGCTAAAAATTTCCCTGTGAGTTGACACTTTTTTATATCTATTTTATTTTATTTATTTATTTTTTTTTAACGTTTATTTATTATTTTTTTGGGACAGAGAGAGACAAAGCATGAACGGGGGAGGGGCAGAGAGAGAGGGAGACACAGAATCAGAAACAGGCTCCAGGCTCTGAGCCATCAGCCCAGAGCCCGACGCGGGGCTCGAACTCACGGAGTGCGAGATCGTGACCTGGCTGAAGTCGGACGCTTAACCGACTGCGCCACCCAGGCGCCCCTTTTTATATCTATTTTAAAAGTTACTTAACCTACTTATTGCAGAGTTTACTTTTAAAAATTTACCTGATTTTTTCGAATATAAGTGACTAATTCTCTTTAATCTGACCCTGCTAATGTAAATACGAAACATTTATCTTATCTAGTTTTCTGTTCAAACAGGTCAATATACAATCTCCCTTTACCTTTTTAAGCTTTTTCTTTGCAGCTGCTGAAGCACTGGCATTTCCATCTTTTTTCACAGCTTTGTCTGAAGGTTCCTTTTTCCCATCAGAAGCCACATCACCTAAATTAGCAAGATCTGTCTCATCTCCCACTGAACTGCCACTTTCTAGCAGTGCTGCTGCTTCTTCCTCATCGACAAGAAGCTCATCTTCAGATTCAAGAAGCATGTTAGGTTCTTGCTCTGCTTGGTCATCCTTTGTATCTTTTTCACCATCTTCACCTGACTTCTCCTCTTGTTCTTTACCTTCAGTTGTACTTTCAGTCTTCTGGGAACCATCAATTTTGGATTTCTTATCACTTGGGGATTCTTTGCCATCTGGAGAATAAGATCTTTTCCTGAAATCAAAAGGATACCCCTCAATTAATTCTGAGTTGGAAAACCAAAGTTTAAAATACTAGCGTATATACACACAAAACAAAATTACCGAGATTTATCTTTTTTCAGTAAGTCAATGCCTCTGTTGGGAATCTACAAGACAAAATTTTGTAGAAGTTAAATAAATATATTAGAATATGTTCATTTGCAGATTATATGATTATCCAATTAACTAACATTTGATAACCATCCTTTATATCACCAACTAAGCTTATTCAAGCTCTGTAACCGTACCTTAGAATTTAAGCTGCTTAGGGTCAGCAGTTCATTATAATCAACATTTCAACAAAGCAGCAGAGCAGTGGATAATAAATATTTTGGTAGCAGAGCTCTGTTCAAATAAAATCTTTAAATAGAATAAAGCAATAAAGGCATTTCTTACACAATACCATTAAAAAAACAAAACACTTCTGAAGAACACCAGGGGGGAAAAAGGTTGGTATCTTTAAAAAACCAAATCCTGGGGCGCCTGGGTGGCTCAGTCAGGTTAAGCTGCCGACTTCACCTCAGGTCATGATCTCGCGGTGAGTTCGAGCCCCGCATCCAGCTCTGTGCTGACAGCTCAGAGCCTGGAGCCTGTTTCGGATTCTGTGTCTCCCTCTCTCTGACCCTCCCTCGTTCATGCTGTCTCAAAAATAAATAAACGTTAAAAAAAAATTTTTTTTTAAAAACCAAATCCTTTATTCTTAGCAAACAAAAATGTTTATAAGAATGCCATGGCGTGGGGCGCCCAGGTGACTCAGTTGATTAGGCATCTGATCCTTGATTTTGGCTTAGGTCATGATCTCACAGTTTATGGAATCGAGCCCTGAGTCAGGTTCTTCCCCGACAGCATGGCGCCTGCTTGGGATTCTCTCTCTCCCTTTCTCTCAGCCCCCTCGCCCTCAGCTTGGTGTTGTTCTGTATCTT